CTGGGGGTCAGAGGGCAGTTGTCCTTGGTTACCAGGCTGGGGGTCAGTGGGTTGAGTTGTTCTGGATTTTTCAAGGCCTGAACTCGTTGTTGCCATGGTTACAGGGACCGTTCACAAGTTCTTCTCCGAATGATTCCAGAAACAGATTGATTCCAATCACATCAAGGCCAGAAAAGGCATCTTTCAAGGAATGGCAGAGAGTTTAACACCAACTGGAATGAGAAGCCTTCAAATCAACCAAATTCCTGGAGAGGGAAAGACATCCCCATGATCAACAACAACAACTTACAACTTGATAGCACCTTCACCACAAGGAAACATTCCAAACACCTAATAAAAACCGAAAGAACTGCGGATGCTGTAAATCAAGATCAAAAACAAAGTTGCTGGAAAAGCTCAGCAGGTCTGGCAGCATCTGTGAAGGAGAAACAAAGTGAACATTTCAGGTCCAGTGATCCTTCCTCAGAACTGATTATTTCCAAACCACTTCACAGGGGCATCACAAAGAACATGTCACATCAAACCACACGAGGACAACACAGCGAGATCAGTCAAGGTGGAAAGAGAGAGATAGAAAGGTTTAGGGAGGAAATTCCTGAGCTCAGGGCCCAGGAGCTGAAAGCATGGCCACCAATGACAGTGGTGAGAATGATGGCAAGTATTGAAAATCAGGGAATTTCTAACAGCAGAAACCCTGGGAGATGTGAGTGATGAGGAAATAGGGTTTACCTTCGTCCCATTTTCTATGTTGAGTCTTCCTTTCACAGAATCCCTCTAATTCCCAGTTCAACTCATTTCCAACGAATGGAGCACCTTTTAGAGGAGCCGGGGTCTGAGTCCTTGCAGGAATTTGGGATATATTTAACACAAGTTATGGATCTGAAACACCTTGGGCCTAAGCTCAGACTGACAGGAAGGACTAAGAGTTGTATACGTACACAGAGCAATGAGTAAGACTGAGCTGAGTTTATCCCTGTGGCCGCCACACCCACTTGTATTAACCCACACAGCACAGGTAACAATTTCTAATCGGAAGCCAGCCCATGTAATTTAAAGGGACAGGCACATCCTTCAACAAAACAGCCTCACAGAGTCTGAGAAGGAGGTAGACCCAGTTGAGTGACAGGTGCAGAGTGTGTAAACAGTCTGATAGTGAACTCCTGGATCAATCACTCTACCAGTTCACTAACTGGGGAGGGGAAACTGGATTGCACTCAACATTGTATCCCTCCCACCCCCAAATACAGACTGGCCCCCTCCCCACCCCTGCCCCCACCCGGGTACAGACTGAACCCATCCCCATGACACTGAGTAGGGATTGACCCCCTCACAAACAA